CACAGTCCACATGCGCACACGATCTGTGGCAATTAGGCTGCTTCACCCAAAGTCCCAGCGGCACAGTCCACATCGCCCGCTTTATTCATGTCGGCATACCCCTCATGTAGAGCTCCACATAATGTCACAGCAGCGCAGCCTGCATACGTCCCCACCAATTTCTGCACGCCCTCACGCGTTTTCGTGGCCCTACAGAGAGCTCCACCGAAGGTCCCAGTGGCGCAGCCCGCATGCGTCCGCCCCACGCATGTTGGTACACCCTTCACACGTTTCGTGGCCCCGTAGGGAGCTCCACCGAAGGTCCCAGTGGCAGGGTGCATTTGCGTCCCCCGGCCCATCTCAGCGCACCCCTCACACTCTTCGTGTCCCCACAGGGTCCGCTCCATTAATTTCGGCACACCGCTCATACTTTTCGTGGCTCCGCAGGGAACCCCACCGAGTGTCCCAGTGGCGCCGCGCGTATAGGTCCACCCCACCGATTTTGACACCTCTGTCACACGTTTCGTGGCTCCGTAGAGAGCTCCACCGAGGGCCCCAGTGGCGCAGCCCGCATGCGTCCGCCCGGCTCATTTCGGGACACCCCTCACACGTTTCGTGGCCCCATGGAGGGGGCTCCACCGAAGGTCCCAGCGTCGCAGCCCGCATGCGTCCGCTCCACCAGTTTCGGCACACCCCTCAAACTTTTCGTGGCCCCGTAGGGAGCTCCACCGAAGGCACCAGTGGCGCAGCCCGCATGCGTCCAGCCCACCCACTTTGGCACACTTGTCACACATTTCGTGGCCCCATAGACTGTTCACCCGAAAGTTCAATTGATTTCAGCACATCTCTCACATCCTTCGTGGTCCCATAAGAGCTCCACCGAAGGCCCCATTGTCCATGTTCGCATGCGGCCGCCCAACCCATTTCGGCACACCCCTCACGCGCTTCGTGGCCCCATGGGAAGCTCCACCGAAGGCCCAGTGGCCATGTTCGCAAGCGGCAGCCCGCCCCACTTCGGCACACCCCGCACGCGTTTCGTGGCCCTTGTTGGGCTCCACCGAAGGCTATAGTCACAACGACGGCACTTGCAACTGCATATGATTGGGTCATTCGCCAGGCTAATGTGACAGGGATGGCGTAGGGGGACGCATTGCCCCTGGTTTGTCGCGGGTCGGGTGGGGGAGATGTACATTGATACGGATCAGTAATGAACCGCTCCCCAAAGGAGAAGAAGAGGAAGATGGAAGAGGAGACGCTCTGAACCACTCACGCCCAGAGGGCTGGTGAGCTTTTCTTCCTTCCCCTCCTTTCCACCCCTCCTCCTACCACCCTCTACTTTGCAAGTAACTGCGTACATTGTCCCAAAGCCCCCTCTTGGGGTGAGAGTGGTGTAGGCCCCCAGTACCTGTCGCTGTAGAGGCTTAGTTTTTTCCCTCCCGAACATCCTCCACCTCCCTCCCCCTCATTTGTTCTACAAGTACGCAAAATGAATACAAATCTCCTTCCTCCCCCGAAGACCCCGAGGTCGTAGCCTGCCCCTATCCGCGTGTTGTTTTTACGCATGGGATCCCCCAGCGGTGGTCGATCAGATGTGTATGTTTTCCAATCCGAACGTTTTCGGTGCTTCCCGAATGGCGCTCCCGCTACAGCGTTGGCTATATTATCTGGCTCTCAGCCCTTCAACTCCTACTCTCATTGCGGATCTTCCTAAATCGCGTTCCCGCTACAGCGTTGGCTCTCATTGTACGCTTCCGCTCTTCCCGAACCGTTCATTTACATGTTTCTGTCTTGCGTCCGTAGCAATGGCTCAAGCCGTCTGGGGGACCCCCCCGTCACGAGGAGGCATCCGACGCACCGCCTGGGCCGCGCGCCAGTCCCCCCGCGCGCGCCCCCGCGGCGCTCCCCGCCTCGCGCCGCCCTCGGCCGCCACTCTGGCGCGATCTGATCGCTACCGGATGGCGACCGACCCGTCGCTGGTCGGACCGGCCGTCGCTGGTCGGACCGGACCCTGAAATCTCCTCCCTGCAGCGCCCGGAGGTGTCCGAATGGCAGCTAGTTGGAGAACGCGGGCAAGATGCCCCTGATCCCGCGCTCGCGGCCGCGCCAGGACACGAACAGGAGCAGGAGCAGGAGAGGAGGGAGGAGGCTCTGAGGTACGGATTTTCGGAGGGCGGTGGCACTCAGCCCACCGCCATGCGGGAGTCGGATGAACATCAGGACGCGCAAGCCAGCGCGGGGGCTGCCGCATGTCCTGCATGTATGCAACCGATTACGCGTACCTCATTGGCCGACGCCCTGATCCCTGTTCCGCCCCCCCCGCCGCCAGGCCCCGGCAACCCAGGTGCTGACGACGGCGCGGCGGCTGACTCACCGTCGCGGGGACACCTCCCTGGAGCCCGCCGCCCCCTGGCTGAGGACGAGGGGGGAGGCGCGGAAGGAGGAGAGGATCGTTCGGCGCCCCCGCAGCATCCCAGGACCTCCTGCTGCCCACTTTCGTCGTCGGACAGCCTGGGGCGCCAAGGGGGCCAGGGGGATGGGGAAGCTATGCAGCTGCCTAATGCCCCGCACCGTGGGAGTTGCGCCCCACCAGCCTCCCCCCCTTTCTCTCCGCCCCGCGAGCAATATGAAAGAGCGACCGTTAGTCGCCCTGATCCCGCGCGAGTCCCTGGGCAAGCAGACCTTCGGCATCGTGGCGTCCTGATTCCTCTTGTCTCACCGATCTCACAGGCAATTGCGACCGTTGGTCGCCCTGATTCCGCTCCCGCGCAAGGACAAGCGTCTCTTTCTCTGTTCTCTGATCATTTTGAATATGCGACCGTTAGTCGCCCTGATTCTGCTGAAGGTCCTGTTCGTCCTCGCCCGGCCTCTCCTTTCTCTCCCCGGGTGGAGGTGGCGGCGGGCCACCCCGCCTCCCTGATTCCCCCTCGCGCGTGCGCCGACGACGTTGCCGACCTTGTAACTCGCGCGGCGGGCGCCCCTGATTCCCCCAGCTGTGCTCGCTGGTAGGGTCCTGGGCATCGCCGCGGGCGACGAGGGGCCGACTGGGGGGCGATGGGGGCCCCGGCCGACCGCGGACGAAAGGGCGTCGCGACCATGGTCCCCCAGGACAGCCGACCGCGCGGACAAACCGGCCCGCGCCCCCCCCCCCACCTGCCGCGGCGAGGAGGGCGCAGGGTCGCAGATCACCGCCCGCCCAGGCACCGCCTCAGGACCTGCTAGCCCCCCTACCGCGCCTCAGGATCCACCTGCCCCCTCCTTAGATGTCGCCCACATCCCCGTAGAAGGCGCGAGCGTCGAAGCGGGGGCATCCCGTGGCGACGCAGGCCTAGATGATCCAATGGGCGACCCAATGGCCGAGAGGTAGGGCGGGGCGCCGGCGGCCCGCGGGGGGGGCCCGACGCCGCGCCGGACGCTGCCGCCGCGGCGGCGCCGCGCATAGCAGGCGCAGCGCAGTGCGTGGATGTGGGGCACTACCTTGCAGCGGCCCCATTACGGCCGGCGCAGGATGACTCGTCGAGCGACTCTGAACCCGCGCCGCCACTGGATCCAGCCACAGATGGTATCACGTGGACTTGCACGATATGCGGGGCCCAAATCCTCGCCCTGCAGCTGGCGCGCAGATCGCCGCGGCCATCTGGGGCCAATTTGAGACCTTGCCCAGGAGTGCGCCCCGACCGTGGTACCCATTGGCAAATGCGGGGCAACGACGCGTTATCGCCGTGCCAGAGATGCCCCGCGCTCACGCCCATCACAGAGGCGCACTGCGCCCACTATGACTACGGACGGCCGCGGGACTTCGAACAGTGTGGCCCCCTCGAGGACGAAGACGACCTGCTCTGGTCTCCCCGACCCCCCCCCCCGTCAAAGCGCAGCCCCCACCGACATGACGAACTGGTTCGCAGGAGGGTGCCGCCGAGAACCGCCGCGCTATGGCGACCCGCGCGGAGACTCTGAAGTGGCCCACCCTGCTGGCATTCGACGGCGCAGAGGTCTGCGCACCTCCGAGCGCGCTGGGCGCGGCCGACGTTGCCGGGCCCCTCTGGTCCCTGAGCAGTCATGGCCGTGCGGCGCGGCGAGGTGGGATCGAACCACGCGCCTACGAACACCTCGCGATACGATTTGCGCACCTGAACACCGTCGGCCAGCACGTGCGCCCTGATCCGCTCGGTCGAGCCCCTGCAGCGCGCGCCGAACACAGCGTCGCCAGCGCCTAGTCGCAAACCATGGAGGAGGCGGCTACGCAACTCAACATGGGGTTACAGCCACAACCAGCGGGACAAGGGCTCGACCTCTTCCCTCAATCTGAAATGGGAGCAGTCGCTCCTGACCGCACCCAGGTCAGAGTAGCGCTCATCTGGGAGGGCAGACGCGGTGGGGTGCCCTTCCCGTCCACGCGCAGCATGCTGAGGGCGCGCCTCGCAGCCGCGGGCGCTTTCCTGACGGCGCGGTGGGCGCCGTGGTCTCAACGCCTGAGGGATCCCCTAGGGCTTTCACGCACTCGAGTTCCAGCGACGCACCCTTTTTGCTGCCCGGCGACGACGGGGCAAGAGACGTGCATCTTACCGCGACAGGCCCGACCGCGGCTACTTGGCCAAGAAGGGAACCTCCCATCGTACTACCCCAAGGACCCTTCAACGCCCACACGCAGACCCAATGCGGCACCTGTGGTTCCTGGACATTCCGCAGGGGCCCCCTGGAAGGAACGTGCCCTGTTTGCCTCGGGCTCAGTCGGGCGACTTTGCAGGGCGCGGATGGCGACGAAACCATCCCCGCCCAAGTAGTCCCAGGTGACTTGATACAATGGCTCCCCTTCGACTGCCTGGGCGACGCGGCTCTCTCGGCCCTGGCGCATGCGGCGCAAGTCTTTGCGCCGCTCTGCTCCCCAGGGGAGAGACAACTCATCGCCTGCGCACCTTCCTGGCTTGTGGGGGAGCTGCTCCTAGCTTGGGAGTGGACGGGTGACTTGGAGGATTCCCCATGGGCAGCCCCCGCGGCCGGCCTCTGTCAGCGCGGGGCCGCAGCGGCGCTCCGCGCTCTGCGGGGCAAACCTACGATGCGCCACGGACCTCGCCTACGTCGTTCGGGCGCAGGCCCTGAGGAATCACAGAGTACTCGCGCGGTTACCACAGGTCATCACTGCCATGCGCGACACCACCCCGGCCGCCCTCGGCACCGACAGTCGTCAAATGCAGGCCAGCGGACGCAGCGAGATAGGAGGCGCGGCCAGGTTAGGGCACTTCGGGCTCGCAGACAGGGACGTGGATTGGATCGCGCACATGACAGGCCTCGGTAGGCGCCGGGCCGAGCGCCCTGACGACCCCTCTCTCTGACACGCCACCAGCAAGGGAGCGGCATGACCGGCGAGGAGCAGGAGGTAGCCCTGCAAGGGGTAGCAGCCCTTACGACCGCCGCGCAACACGACCGCCGCCACGACCTCGCCAGCCTGCAACCCTGGCCTCAACTGGGCAGAGCGCTGATGCGCATGATGGCCAGGAGGCTCCGGGCCGACGCAGACGCGGCGAGCAGCATAACGAGCCAGGCCGACGCGGTGCCACCGCAGACTGGTGCAGGCACGAGAAACGCGACCCACGCCGCCCCAGACGGGCGCGCAGACTACGCGCGCGCCCCTGCTTCCCCCATCCCGGGAGCGCGCGCAGCACCCGCGCACAGCAGCGGCGCGGGCCCCCCGGCCCCCGTGGACGCGGATGCAAGCCACCCCGCCGACTCAGCCCCTGCGCAAGCGACCGGCCGCGAGCAGGAGCGCCAGACGGACTCGCAGGCCGCGCTGTGCAAATAACACGAACCTTGCAAAACGAGATCGCGTGCGCGAGGCAAGCCCTGGCGAACCGCGCGCTGCAGAACTACACGTGGAGCGGGTGCCTGGCCCCCTCCCTCTGGCTGTCGGCCGTTGAGGCCACCAGAGAGGCATTGCGACTGGCACTCCTCGCTCCTGGCCGCGGGCGTTGCACTCAACGGCTTCCGTGCTATGGTAGAGTGGTGGGACAGGCGGAAGGTTGCGACGATCGGTGATGCGCTCCGCATCCTGCGAGAAGAGGCGCAGGTCCTTTCTCACCGCGGCGGCCTGAACGTCCCTGCCCCCCAGGAATGGGGTTACCTGCGTGCTCGGCTTCAGGGGCACCTGGTTGACCTCGCGGACCCGCGCGGCTGGGCGCGGGCCGACGCCATTCTGGGGCCGCAAGGGGCAGGCGCGACGCCCCCCCGCGGACCGCGAGGGCCCCCGGCACCCCAGGGGACCCCCCAAGCCCGACACACGGACGCTGACGGCAGCGCCATCCTGCACACGGGCCACCGCATCCTCACCGGCTCCAATGTGCGCATTTTGCCACGCCCAATCCCACGCCAGCCTGAATGGCGCACAGTTTTGACCATCCACGGCATTGCTAGCACCCTGGGCCGCAGGGGCCAAGCCGACGAGAGCGCCACCGCTCCACCCGCTGCCTTGCCCGACGATGGCTCGGTGGACGGCGCCGCGGCGCAAAGGGCACGCGACGTGCTGAGGGGCGTTCCGAGCCCTGGGGCCAACCAGGGCCAGTGGTTTTCGGCAGTGATGTGGCTCATCTTGCGCCCCCATTACCGCTCCCTGCTGCGGCCGCTGCTCGTGCGGAGACGGTTCGACGGGGGGCCCTTCGACGTGGTCGCAAGATGGCTCAGTCGTGCAGCGGTGCTCTCGCCCGCGCAGCTCGCGAGTGTCGCGACGGTTGCCGCGGGTATGCCTGCCGAGGCCTTCTCTGTATACGAGCCCTTTCAGTGCCGGCGCGCTGGGAGACATTCTGAGACACCTCGCATGCCTCACGCAGGATTCCATCAGACCAGGCGAGCAGCAGGGGCGCTTCGTATACAACGAGCTAACAGCGGCAGTGGCCAGAGCCAGCCCGCCGCCCGCCTCGCTCGCCCAAGCGGTTGCCACGCGGGAGCGGTGCCCAATCTGCCGGGAGATCATGATCGGCAGGGTCTCCGGCATCATGCCGCGCGGACACCGAGCTCGTCCGCGCTGCCTCGAGGGCTGGCGAGCACGGCAGCGACGGGGCGAGCACCTGCGCCCGCTGTGCCGTGGCGAGGACAACGGCGACGCCCCCCAGGTCATCGAACCACCCGCCCCAGCGACGCCAGACACCCGCGCGCGACGCGGAGGATGAAGGCGCCGCCCCTGTTCCCCCCGCGCAGCCCGCGGAAGCCTCCGCGACCAACGCACCAGACTGCAACGACACGTGCACGGGCGACGTCTTCCTGCCCCCAGCCACGGAGGCCGAAACGCAGTGGTCCACCAGCGTCTTGGAGGGAGTCTGACGGCTCCGGCCCGACGGCGCCCCAGGCCCTCGGCCGCGAACCCATTCCCACGGGGGCGTGGATAGACTACGGCGCATGATTCGACGGCGGCGCGAGTTCACACAGCGCCAGGCTGCGATTACCACCGGCGCCCGCGGGCCCGCGCACGGAGCGGCGCCCGGGCTGGGCCCCGAAACGCATGGAGCACCACACGATGGGACATCGCCCAACGGAGCCGCTCCCAACCACCCTGAGCTAGAGCCGCCCAGCGAACCCGCGCGATTGGAGCAGCGGCCCCGGGTCACCCACGAGAGGTGGTGCGACGTGATAGCCGGGACTAACTAAAGCGGCCAACCGTGGCCGCACGAGAGGTCTGGTCCAGACACCCCCGACCATAGTTGCAGCCGCGATGCGCGAGCTACGGGCGGCCGTCGTGATATGCCCGCGGGCCCTCGTCGAGGCACGGCCCACTGACAACGCCGCCGCGACCTTCGCCTTCCCCACCGAGGCTGGCCACGACAGGGCGAGGGAGCTCCTGGACCACTCGCGACGCGCCGCTGATTCCCCTGACGCACAAGTCCCGCCACCACCACCTGTCATTATGGCCGTTGTCACCAACGCCACACAAGTGGACGCACTGGTTGGCCTCATTCAGCTCGAATGTGTTCCCTGTTTTCTAGTTGTTATTGGACACGAGCTAGTCACCGCGCCTGGAGGCCCAGATCCGATCGGCCTGACGGCCGCTGCGCACACCCTCTGGGGGCACCGAGCGGTGAGCCGAGCCAACCCCCTGATCCCAGTCGACCAGCCGCTAGTCGAAGGCCGCGGCCCCGTGCAGATACTTGCCGTGCAGATCAATTGCCTTGCCAGGCCCATGCGCCTGCAATACGCGCCAAGCGTAGTGGTGCACTGGGGGAACAGCAACGCCGACCTCAGGGACGCCCTCCACATCCTGGCCCCGGACTCTGGCAACGAGCACGTGGTTGCCCTCATGGCGCGCGCCCAGCGAGACATGGAAATGCAGGGGCACCATCTGGAATGGGGCGCCAACATCACACAGCCCGGGCGCAAACCGGAGTTTCTCCAACAGGGCATAGAACCGCTGGTCCACCGCGCGATCAATGTCCGCCTGCGCGACGCAAGCCTGAGCGACGTCAACCGCGTCGTCGTGCACATGCAGGCGGCTGCCCAGCAGCTCGCACCCACTGGCATCCCGACTGCAGTATGGAGGCAACGCGAGACTGCCGACGTCGCCCATATTCCACCGCGGCGTGGCAGCCTCTGTCTTGCCCCCCCGATCGCTGCGCAGGCCGCGGCCTCCCTTGGACACGAGGTGGGCGTCGCAGCATCTGGGGTCATGCTCATCAGCGCCCCATAGACCGCGGCAGCACCCATCACGCGGTACATCCGCTCGCATGTACCCGCGGCGCTGGCCAGCAACGGACAGCCAGGTGCGGTGGCACCACGCCGGATCACCACGGCTGACCCCTGGACGGGGGGCCCCTCCCTGGCACGGTCGACCCGGAGTTCGGATCCCACCTTCTCTGGAACGCCGCCACAGAGGGTCAGATTGACCTGGACGCGGTACGACACGCTGTTCAAGAAACCCTGGGTGCAAGCGCCGTCTGGGCAGTCGCGCGCGCGCGCGACTGGCACCCCGACGTTGACGCCTTCCGCGACATGGCGCAGGTGGTCTTCCGGGCGGGCGCTGAGCAGGCCGTGGAGGCAGCCTGCGGAGACGCCGGCCTCCTTGCCCTCAACGGTCAGCTCATCCGCATCTTTCCTGCAACCCGCGCCCGCGAGCCCATGGGGCGCGCCCGTGGAACGGATAGCGCCCCGGGCGACCGCGCGAGAGAGGCAGCTCGACCCGGCGTCGCGGCCGTCAGGCGGGCGGCCGAACGTCCGCAAGTCGTCGCCACGGCAAGTGGGCCTGCATGGAGTTCAAGTTGGCACCTGTACCCTGATCCCTAGCTGCCCGCTCACCGGCACCTCCCGCTAATGGGTGCAACAGCGGGGCACGGAGCATGCCGCCTCCTGATCAGACCCTGGCCCGCTTCCGCCACCGACCTGGACGCGGCCCGCGCGGATGCGCTCCCGTGGATCGGGCCCCCCGCTCTCGCCGCGGGCTGGGTCGACGACCACATCGGCCCGATGCGAGCGATTGCCCCCGCCGCGCCTCCCCCGGCGGTGCTCGACCAAGGGCAGCGAGGTGGGGCCCGCGCTGTCGACGCCCGCCTGGGCCCAGGCGAAAAAATCATCATGGCAGTCACCTCCGGCGGACGCGCGGTGGTCCAAGCCGCGAGAGAAACGACCATGTACATGCCCACCCTGCCCTGCTGGTGCACCATCCGCCTCCCGACGGCGGCAGACACCACCGCGGCTGCGCACGGCTGCGCTCCGCCCGCGCGCGCCCAGGCCGAGGCCGTGGTCGGTGACGTCTGGATCGCCCGAAGGACACGCGACCACCCTCCCCCGCTCACCCCCGCCGCCCCGGGCCTGGCCGCCCCGGCGCCCGCGCGGGCGGCACGAGCGCGACGCGCTGCCCCCGCCCCGCGCCCAGGCCCGGCCAGGCCCGCGCAGTGCCCCCGCACACGCGAGGCGCTGCTCCAGCGCGCGCGGACCGACCCACCGCCTGAAGGTGGATTGGTCGAGGCCTGCCCTGGTGCTTTGAGGGCGGCGCAGCTTGCGCTCGGGGCGTTGCCGAGGTGCTGCCGGCGCACCGGCAACGCGACCTGGTCAATTGGATTCAGGCAAGGATGAGGGTAGAAGGTGACCGCTCCCTAGCAGGCAGGCCGATCACCGATTTCAGATTAGCCATGAGCATCGTATGCGGGCTATTCCAGCACATCGGAGCCGCCGCCCTGGATTTCGACCACTTCGACCAGCAGGCGGCGGAACTTGGCGTATGTCAGGCGACCCTACGCATGGGCCCTTTCGCGCAGTGGACCACGGAACCACCTGGCGCTGACTTTGACGGGCACAGCCCATTCCTGACGATTCCAGGGGCGCGCGACGCCCGGTCCCCAGACGAGGGGCTCACGTCCCACAACATGGCAGAAGGCGCCGCGCGCGCTCTAGGACCGCTATGGGAGCGGGTGTACCGCCAACACTTGGCGGACAGACATCGAGGAGGACCAGGGCGAGGCACGAGGGGCAGGGAACAGAGATATGAAGCGGACGGGGACGAGCAAGACGACCCCATGCAAGTGGACGCGCACCTTCAGTCCGCCCACCAAACAGCCCCGGTCCCAGTCCCCGCCCCCGTCACATACACCGGTGGACACATGCCCAACCCTGGCGCAGCCGCTGGCGCGGAGGCCAGCGACGGGCCCCCCCGCCAGCAAGCGCGCGCGGCGCGCGGTCCGCCCGGAGGAACGCCGCTCAGCCGCTGCACAAGCAACAGGCGGCCACAACGCCGCGGTGGCCACCGCCACAGGCGCCGACGACGCCGCTCATGACTCAGGTGACAACCCTGCAGCACACAGCGACCCCCAGAGCACTCGGGCGCGCCAGCACGACGCTCCCGCCGCAGGTGCACAGCCGCAGCAGGCGGGCGTAGCGGCAGCGGCCCCGGACCGCAGCTCAACGCCCCTGTCGGACGAGAGCCGCCCCCGCATGCTCGACCCCGGGCGTCGAACAGCCGCCACTGATCCGGCGCACCACTGTCCCAACTGTTTTATTGGAGGGGCGATGTTCACCTTCGCTGAGTCGTTGCCCACTCGCAACACCTGCCCAGGATGCAACCAGGCAATCACTGCCGGACCGCCCCCTGATAGCACCTGCGCTCGAGAGGCCGCGCAACCTGCCGCTTGCCGTGCTAGCGAGGTCCTGCCCCCACTACCAGCGCCCAGAGCGGCGCGCGGCCCGGATGAGGGGGCCGACCCCGCCGACCCGATGTGTAGAAGCGCACCTGGGCCGCCGGGTGTCGGCATGCACCCATTACTCGAAACCGATTGGAAGAGGCTCACGAGCCAAGCGACGAACGCCCTCACCTCGCTCTTTCGCAACAGCCCCGACAATCAGGCAGCCACCACCATCGTCGGCAGCGAGAATAGAGGAGACGGAGGCCCATGGCTCGACCTGCTAACCTGGCTTGCATGGGCAGCGCCCACCGACATCCCACGCATGCGCGCAAGAATCCTATGGGGGGGCCATGGGCTCAGCCCAGCCGCAATTGACACTCTCGAGGCCCAGTGGAACGCCGCCTGCTTGCCAGGGTCCCCGCCGCGCTTCGGGATCGTCAGCCCTGTCTCTACGGCCGGAGTGAACGGCGCCCTGGCGCTGGATTCCGCGTGTCTCAGATTGCGGCAACGTGCCAGAGTGATTGGCTGCCGCTGCCCAGCTCAACCGATGGACCCCCATGCGCCCCGCGCTCTGCCTCAGCCTGCTCCGAGACGCCGCGCAAGAGAGGGGCCCGCGCATCCAGCCGGC